GTCGCGGCGAGCTGCGGGTAGTCGGCGCCCTGCAGGATGTCGCGCGACAGCGCCGACTCGGCCATGAATGCGCCGGGGCCGCTCACGCCCACCAGGATGGCCGAGCGCAGCGGCGTCGATGCGACCGGCGCAATGCCCGCCGTCAGCGCCGTGACGGCGCCGTGCACGCCGGCCACCTTCGCGGCAGTCGTCGTGTCGACGCCTTGGTCGCGCAGGTTCATGTACGACGTCGCGCTCTCGTCCAGGGCAGTGCCGCCGACTGCTCCCGGGGCACCGCCGAGCAGCGAGTACCCGGCGAACTTCGTGACCATGCGGCTGGCGTCGTGCAGGAAGTTCGTCGCCCACCCTTCCGTCATCGGGTCGGGCTTCCAGTACTCGACATTGGTGCGCAGGCCTGTGTCGATGTCGGCCACCGCGGCAGCCTCGGCGCGGCGCATGGTTGCGCTTTGGCCGGCGGACTCATTGCGGCGCGCGCTGCCGTAGGACGACAGGCGATTGAACACGCGCAGCGACTCGTTCACGCCTTGCGCCGAGCCGGTGAACGGTGCGGCCAGGAAGTCGCCCAGTTCGGCCCAGGTGCTGCGCTTCGGCGCCGGCAGCGCGACGGGATTGGCGGCGCGGTCAGCAAGGGCCGCGGCGGTCTCGCCGGGGAACATTTCGGCAAAGCTCATGGTCAGTCCCCCAGCGTGAATACGAAGGGCTGACGGCTCGCACCCAACACGATGCCGCCCAGGTCGAGCGCGTAGCGCGACGGACCGAGCGGCACCATACGGGCCGACGGCAGCGCCTTGACGAGCGCGTCAGGCGTCAGCGCCTGGCCATTGAGCGACAGGCCGCCCGGGGCTTGCCGGGCGATGTCCTCGGCCGTGATCTTGCGCAGCGCAGACCGGAATCGGTTCTCAGTCCAGCCAGGCGGGGCGACCGTCTTGCCGTCGCCGTGGTCGACGATCTCGCCGCCGAGGGCCAGCAGCATGGCCTTCTTGCGGTCGCTGCTGGATGCGGTGCCGGTCGAGCGCTGATCGCGCAGGCCGTCCATGATGAGGCTCGCCGCGTCGATCGCAGCATCCCGAGCCTTCGGCGTCGCCCAGGGGACGGCATCGAGTTCGCGCGACAGCTTCATGCGCTCGCCGCGGGTCAGCTCGTCGTCCTTCTTGATGCGCCCGCTGGCGACGGCATCGTGCCCGCGCAGGATCAGGTCCATGGGGTCGCCGTTCGCGGTCTTGGGCAGGCTGCCGGCGTGCATGGCCAGCGCGAGGGCGCCGTCC